TCGGGGTCACAGCAATGGGGGTCTGGAAACACTGGGGGTCACGGAGTTGTGGGGTCACTGAGGTCTGAGGGGGTCACGGAGCTATGAGGGGTCACAGTGTTATGGGTCATATATAGCTATGGAGGTCACAGAGCTAAAAGGGTCACGAACTATGGAGGTTCAGAGAATTATGAGGATGACGGCTGCTTGCTGACCGCACAAGACAGTGTAGGGGACCGCTCAGCTGTCTCCCCCTACAGCTTTACAGCTCCCTTCACTTATACCTATTCTAACCCCTTATCCTAAGTGTCTAAGCTATTATATCCACTTATAATAAGTATCTAAATACATAAAAGTACCAATCCTAAGTATCATATATCTTTTTTCTAGCAGAACAATAACATTCATCATTTTACCAAAATACATGCTTACTGTATATACTAAATTTTATCAAAATCTGAACATACAGTCGGATATTAAATATATATAATACAAATATATAACAGTCCCATCATCACAGCGCCAGACAGCTGGCTCAAGTGCGTCTGGCGATCCTTGTTATGGCATAGTATAAGAAGGTGAATGATCGCCAGGCGGTCATTACGACCGTGTTTGGCCTTGGTGGTCCCCTTGGTGGGCCCCGGAGGCAGGCGTGGTTGGAAAGCACCACCTAGGTAAGGTCTTCCCCCGCCCCCTAAATACCATTCGGCAACCACCTTTACAGTATACGAGTAATATCCGGGTACCAGTTGGGTACTGGTTGGATACGTCTGGGTACCAGTTAGGGTACCACCATCTGGAAGAGGTTGTAGCCAACCCGGATAGATGGACATTGAGGAATGACATTAAACAACATGCATGCAGTTTCCTGCTGGCCAAAACCGTGTTTTCCGGGCCACCACCACGAGGACCACTTGTGGAACCCACCAGCCCGCCCTCTCTCAACTATTACGTCGCATTTTGTACGTTATAGTCCCCAACGTACAAATTACAAAATACTATGAAAAGCAGCGACTCATAAATATCCCCGTTTTCTATGCATCGGATGGTTAGGTTAGGTGGGTTGCTAGGGTTCGTACGTTTCAGGTTAGGTTAGCACTTTGTATTGTGTACGTTGTGGAAAATTGAGAGAACGAAGTAAACAGCGAACATAAGAGAAGTTTGTGTTTTCTACAAATAACGGGAAACCCTTTTATATGTATTTTGAATCTATTGTGGTGATGATTGATAAAGATTAAGCCACCCAAGAGGTGGCACGGGCATGAATAGCCCGTAATTGATTGTTGTTATAGATTCAGCTACTCGGAACAAGTTCCAAGTAGCACGGGCTATGGTGAGCCCGTAACTTTCCTGGCACAGGAGCGGGGCGAGAAGCACGGGCTATGGTTAGCCTCGTGGACGGGAGATGTCTCCCGTGGTAATTGCTTGTGATTGATTGATGAAGATTAAGCCACCCAAGAGGTGGCACGGGCATGAATAGCCCGTAAGTGGTGGCCCTTTCGAGCCATTACCAGTATCAAAAGATGATACTGGAGATCTGTGGAGGCGCAACTGCACCCTGCGTGACGGGAGATGTCTCCCGGACCAAGTGGTGACCAAATGGTGTCCTCAATTGCTTGTGGTTACTACTATATATATATATATATGTACTCCTCTCCCCACTCGGGGGGAGGAGGGGGGGTAGGGGAGGGGGAAGGTAGGACAGAGGGTGGTAATTCTTGTTGCTTGCCCCAGCTCCTGGTCCCGGTTGAGAGGCACGTGGCTTGACAATGACTGCAAACAGTTCTTTTGAATTCATTAGTTGCCGTGTGGTTGTTTGTACAAATGATGAACAGGAGCATCCTTCGTAGACATATTGTGTTTCAGGAGCTGGTAGTGACAGTATTTTTGAGGCAAATTTTTTACTTCAAAAATGTATTTGAAGGACATTGATGACCAAACAGAACTAGAAGATGAAGAGACGACGACGTTTCGGTCCGTCCTGGACCATTATAAAGTCGTATGTGATGGGAGAGAGATTGATTAATAAAGATTAAACCACCCAAGTTGTTGTTGTTTTAGACTCAGCTACTCGGAACAAAAAAGGTCCAAGCAGCACGGGTTATGGTGAGCCCGTCGTACTCACCTGGCACAGGAGATGAGCCACCCAAGAGGTTGCACGGGCATGAATAGCCCGTAATGGGAGAGAGAGGATGTTGTTGGTTTAGATTCGGCTACTCGGAACAAAAGGTTTCAAGTAGCATAGGCTATGGTGAGTCCGTAGTGGACTTACCTATCACAGGAGCGGGGCTGTAACGGGAGAGAGATGACTGATGAAGATTAAGCCACCCAAGAGGTGGCACGGGCATGAATAGCCCGTAAAACGGGAGAGAAGAAGGCACAGGCAATAAATAAGGAGAGTGAGGTGAGGAGAAGGTAAATTTACTTTGAGGGACTTTGTTATAGCGACCCTAAATACAATTATAAGACCTGCTTAGTACTAGACCTGACTAGTACAAGGCTGACTAGTTCAAAATGGGACTAGTATATGGCGTGATTACAAACCCCATGCTATATTTTCTATCACTCAAAAAAATTTGTCATGAGGTGGCAGTTGTTAAACACGCCCTAAATGTCCTGGAGGTCCTCAAGCTCTATAACTATGTTGAATATACATGGAATATTTGTTCTCTTTAGTCTGGAAGTGCTCTGGCAGGGTTTGTGTCTCACCCTCAACACCAGACACTATCTGGAAGACTTTTTGTGACGTGTGTTTTCTGTTTAACATTACAGCCTAGTGTACTATATCTCCCCACTTCTAACACGAAGCCTCTCCATATGCGAACCTTTGAAGGTCTGTGAGTTTTTTGGGGGGGTGGGGGTTTGTAATGGTTCTTCTACTCCAACAACTATGGGGTTTGTTTTTCTTCAATCTTGTGATATGTTCTAAAAGTTCAGGAAAAAAGATGAAGACTTTAGTCTGATACATTTATATTAAGAGCATATTAAAAAGTCTTTGAATTTGTTATTTTAACGAGAGGTCTATAAATACTTATTTGTCATTCCGTATTTCTTGCAAATGAATTTTGTGTTAGATTTTTAACTAAGAAGTTAAATGAAGAAACAGAGAGTGGTGTTGACGACCTCAAGACAAGGCTCGTGGTTCGAGGCTTCTTAACTGTTTCCCATATACTCAGAGCCTACTGGAACAATTTTTTTATATATATATTTTACTTTCGGGAATGACTTAAAGAGATCTTTGGATATATCTTGATATACTGATCCTTTGAACCATCTCACAGCCTATAGAGATGTTTGCGAGAAATCTTGAAATACTGGTCCTTCGACCACCTTTCAGCCTATTGATATGTTTGCGAGAGATCTTAAAATACTGGTCCTTCGAACCATGTCACAGCCGAAAAGAGATGTTCAATAATCTAGCAATGACAGCTGATTGGATGAAGGACAGTCACATTCATCTTACCGACTGACACTAACCACGTTTTAAGATAGTATAAGATAGACATTGCACTCCAGTTAGTCAAGTCACTCTCTGACTTGCATAACCCACACGTCTATACAGACATTCACTACCGGGACTTTGACACTTATATACTTTCAACGAAATACTTATAAAAAGCAATATATATATATATATATATATATATATATATATATATATATATATATATATATATATATATATATATATATATATATATATATATATATATATATATATATATATATATATATATATATATATTGCATTGTTTTCCTAATGTGTAAACCATATGACTAATTAATTAACAGAATAGAACACCATTTCAGTATTTATGGGGCAAACTAACAGGGCCAAAAATATTACAGCTGATAACAAGTAATCTATCAGCTTGATTTCTTAAAATTAACTCAGTCTTAAGAAAAGTTAAAAATAACTAAGATGATAAATATAGACTCTTACAGGAGCCTCCATCTTCGCCTCCATAAGCAGGAGGCCTGGTGTAGGGAGCCTCACACAGGAGGCCTGGTGTAGGGAGCCTCACACAGGAGGCCTGGTGTAGGGAGCCTCACACAGGAGGCCTGGTGTAGGGAGCCTTACACAGGAGGCCTGGTGTAGGGAGCCTCACACAGGAGGCCTGGTGTAGGGAGCCTCACACAGGAGGCCTGGTGTAGGGAGCCTCACACAGGAGGCCTGGTGTGGGGAGCCTCACACAGGAGGCCTGGTGTAGGGAGCCTCGCACAGGAGGCCTGGTGTAGGGAGCCTCACACAGGAGGCCTGGTGTGGGGAGCCTCACACAGGAGGCCTGGTGTAGGGAGCCTCACACAGGAGGCCTGGTGTAGGGAGCCTCACACAGGAGGCCTGGTGTAGGGAGCCTCACACAGGAGGCCTGGTGTAGGGAGCCTCGCACAGGAGACCTGGTGTAGGGAGCCTCACACAGGAGGCCTGGTGTAGGGAGCCTCACACAGGAGGCCTGGTGTAGGGAGCCTCGCACAGGAGGCCTGGTGTAGGGAGCCTCACACAGGAGGCCTGGTGTGGGGAGCCTCACACAGGAGGCCTGGTGTGGGGAGCCTCACACAGGAGGCCTGGTGTGGGGAGCCTCACACAAGAGGCCTGGTGTAGAGAGCCTCACACAGGAGGCCTGGTGTGGGGAGCCTCACACAGGAGGCCTGGTGTAGGGAGCCTCACACAGGAGGCCTGGTGTAGGGAGCCTCACACAGGAGGCCTGATACACGAGACCTCTTGCCAGAGACTTCACTGTCTAAATAGTATATACTTTTTGTAACGATGTCGATCATCGTGTATATATTGACGTAATGAACAATTAGTACAATTTAGTACTATTCACAGAGTCCGGGAAACAAATAATAAAATAAAACTAAAAACCAAACTTAAGTATTCTTAGGCCTAGTATAGTGTATTCTTGTACTGTATTAGGCCTCAGATAGCGTGTGTTAGGCCTAGGATAGTTAGGTTAGGCTTTATTAGCAACATAACTATCAAACCTTTTCCGATTTGTCCAAATTCAATAGTACCAAATTCTACTTTTGTCCATTAGGTCAATATATGTACGATGGTCGACATGGTTACTATAAGTACTATGTAAACACGGGGCGGGGCTGGAGGAGTCGCCTACAGTCCCCAGACCCTGACACTCATGTCCCAGGAGGAGGTGGCGATGGCGATGCCGCTGTCAGCTACTGCCAGGGACGTGATCCGGTTGTCGTGGCCCTGCATGGTACCTGAGGGAGGCAGAGGACTTGTGAGGGAGCCCGGTAAGTAACGCTGCTGGTCACGGAGGTGTTGTGGGGGGACAATGGTACTTACTGATGGGGGCTGGTGTTTGACGTAGGTGTGTGTGTGTGTGTGCATTCACCTATTTGTGTCTGCTGGATCGAGTAGTACAAGATGAACTAGGCATTCTCCAGAGATGGTCTGAGAAATGGCTACTAGACTTTAACCCTGGCAAATGCAAGCGTATGAGGAAAGAATTGGAGCAAGAAGACCTCAAATACAGTAGAGGTTGAAGGGAAGGCAACTTGCCACCTCTGAAAAAAAGAAAGACTTAGGAGTGAACATAACTGGAGATCTAACACCAGAGGCCCACATCAGCAGGATAACGAGGGCAGCAGACGCCCTACTGACAACCGTTCGGTTATCCTTCACCAACTTGGACAAAGATCCCTTCCGAGCGCTGTGCACATCCGCTGTATCTGTATCTGTATAGCGCTGTATCTGTGTGAGACCTGTTATTGAGTATGCTGCCCCAGCATGGAACCCCTACCTAAAGAAACGCAAAATACAACTAAAAAAGGGCTAGAAATATACAAAACTAGAGCCTGAGCTAAGGGAACTGAGCTATAGAAATACTGAAGGAACTGAAGCTCACTACATTGAAAGAAAGAAGGAATAGTGCAGACACGATAACGATGTACAAGATACTAAAAGTGATTGACAAATTAGACATAGAAACAATGTTCAGAGAAACAGTGCTTCTATAACAGTGCTTTCGTTCTACTAAGAAACAGTAGGACGAACGGACACAATTTGACACTGTAACAGATGAGACACAGAGATGTCTGAAAGAATGTTGTGTAAGAGTGGTAAATGAGACAAAAAAAAGGAAGTGTGGAAGTTGTCGAAGCCAATTCGATACACAGTTTTAAATGTAAATATGATAACAATAAGTGAAACGAATCACGCCATTGAACTATAGATACTTAACCCTGCAAGCGAAGGTGTAAGGTGAAGCATCACGCTGGAGTGTGTGCGTGTGGGGTGTGTGCATGTGGGGTGTGTGCATGTGGGGTGTGTGCGTGTGGGGTGTGTGCGTGTGGGGTGTGGGCGTGTGGGGTGTGTGCGTGTGGGGTGTGGGCGTGTGGGGTGTGGGTGTGTGGGGTGTGGGCGTGCGGGGTGTGTGCGTGTGGGGGAGGTTTGTGGGTCTGTAGGTGTGTGTACAAAAAACAACGTAAATGGAACTAAACTTCAAGGACCACAAATGGACAAAAAAAGAGATACACACAACAATTACACTCTCCAACATTTTATATCAAGCACGGTCCCTAAAAAAAAAAAAAAAAAAAGAAAAAATCGCGTTCGAACTCCTGGGCACCCAGCAGTAAAACGGCTGACTGATCATGTTCTGGGCGAAATATGGCGCTGAATAGCCTAAAGGGTTCCAGTACCACTTTTACAGCAGGGATATTTATACCGAGAGGAGTACCTGTATCTCGGAGTGTACACAGAGTTTACTTTAGTCCTGGACTTGAGTATACTTGCTGGGTGGTACGTAAGACGTTGTGGTGGCCTTGATAACCCTCCATAGGATGATAGACCTTAATAACCTTCCAGAGGTTAAAAGGCCTTATTAACCCTCCAGAAGTTGACAGGCCTTAATAACCTTCCAGAGGTTGATAAGCTTTGAGAACCATTCAGAGGTTCGTAGGCCTTGCTAACCCTCCAGAGGTTGGTGGGCCACTGCACTGCGCAAAGCGCCTTTAGGCGCTCTGAGACTTATGCTATTTGTATTTTAATTGAGCTATATTTATGTTTTTTTAATATTTTCATTACTCTGTGTTTTGAAATGGAAATAGTTGAGTTTAGAAACATTTTGACATTAACTTTATCTGAACATTTACAAAAACAACAAAAAATATGTCCTTGACAATTGCACTAAGAAGTTTTTGCCGAAAACAGATGTGCAGTGCAGTAGTTAAACTCAACATCAACTTTCACTCATATTTCCTTGTTTTTAATTATGGGACTTCAGGTGACATTTATGCAAGATTACGTCATTTTTTAATTCTTGACTTTGTCAATATCCTCAATATGCTCAGTAGCGTAGCGGTCTGTTGTGAGCCACACAAGTTTCGCGCAAACGCATGGTCCAAGGTTTGATTCCTACAAAACAGAAACGTTTGGGTATTGTTGCCTTTCATCCGATGTCTCTGTTCACCTAGTAGTGAATAACTTTCTGGGAGTTGGGCAACTGATGTGGGTTGTATCCTGGGGTGAAGGGCTGTACTTAGCCTTGAGTGACATCAACACGCTTGACGTCGTAGGGAAACCAATGTTTTCTACTCCCTGTGTTAGCGTCCAGAGTCTCCACACGACCCCCTAGTGTCTTCATCGATCATCTACATCCCGTCCTCTTAAAAATAACGTCGCTTTTCGCTCGTATGCGTGCTATGGCCAAAAGTGGACGTAATTTGAAATGAAATCGACTCACAAAAGTGACGTACTGTCTCGTTTTCTGTTTGAGTCGTCCGGGCTACTCGGAAAGGTTAGGAGAGGAAACTTTCAATTAACATTTTTCATAAAAATTTGAAACTTTATGAGCATTTCCTGCCCACCTAACCTACCAGAAGACCCTTAACTTACTGTTGAAAAAAATCTCAAATTTATTTTCATTTTTTTTTCATTTTCAAATTACGTCCACTTTCGGCCATACTGGCAAACGGCCAAAAGCGACGTTATTTTTAAGAGGACAGGTTGTGAACAACTCTTCAGCATCCTATAAACGACTCTAATATTCTCTAGATGTTAAGTAATTTCTCTAGAGGGCCTTTGCGTGCTCTAGCAGGATGGGGAAGCCTCTAGAAACACTAAACACTGTCGATTAGTTCTCGACTCTATACTCCCAGATGTCTCAAAGTATCTTTTAGATATCCCCCAATACTTTATAGTAGTTTTACTATTTTCTAGACGTCCCATAATTTCGTAAAAAATATTATATGGACTTTTATTATTTTATAAAAGTTTCCAACGCCATCTAGTAGCCTATCATGTCTACTAAACGCAACTAGTTGACTTTAGTCGTTCATATTATAAATACCATCCCGATATTCTCTAAACGCTCCTAGTATCTACTAGATGCCTCCAATATTCAATTTCTTTCATTATTATACACCCCATACCCATCCCGTGGGCGGTGGTGGAAAGGGCTACAGAGGCACATAATCAGTTCAGGAACTGAACCCTCTAGTTCGTTTAGCTAAGCAAGTAACAATCTTTTGACGCTAGTTACACAATTATTAATGTTATATATTCATGTACATATATATACACAATCATTTCTATTGAATATATACCTACAATATTCTTTAGACACCTACAATATATTCTATAAACATCTCAAAATCTATAGACATCTCCAGTAATTTCTGGACGCCTTCCTCTAGTATTATCTAGATTTTAGATATTAATAAGAGCAGGGGACATCATCAAGACTCTAGGGTAACCATCCCCGTCCCCTGCCCCAGCTTAGAAGCAAGCTTGGGTTTACCTTGGTGCGTGGCCTTAAGGGTGTCCCAGAAGTGGACGGTGTTGTCGTCGGAGCCGCACATGATGTACCTGCCGGAGCTGCTGAGGCCGCAGCAGGTGAAGCCGGAGTTGGCCGTCGGCGGCTTGTACTCCGCTACCTGTTGGTCGCTTCGCAGGTCCCAGAGGCGCGACGTCTTGTCCTCGGAGCCTGACCCCACCACGACGCCAGACGGGTGAAACTGTGTGGGAGTAGGGGAGAGGTGGGGTGAGTGTGGGGTTGTAGTTTGGGGAGGGAATGTTGGGGAAGCGGTGGGGGAGGGAGACAGTGTGGGGATAGATCTGGGAATAACAGGGAGATTGCTACACTGGATAAGGGATTATCTACAAGGCAGAAAAGGTCAGGTGTATTACCAGGGATACATGTCTGAGGAACGGATGTTTCAGTTAGATACCCCCAAGGGGGAGTTTTAAGTCCCACCTTATTCAGGCTGCCGGTGTATTTGCAACCCGTCCTCTTAAAAATAACGTCACTTTTGGCTCGTATGCGCACTATGGCCAAATTTGGACGTAATTTGAAATGAAATCCATTCACAAAAGTGACGTTCTGTTCCGTTTTCTATTTGAGTCGTCCGGCGTACGCGCAGAGGTTAGGAGAGGGCACTTTAAATTAACGTTTTTCATAACGTTTTGAAACTTTATGAGAATTTCCTGCCCACCTAACCTATCAGAGGACCCTTAACTTACTGTTGTTGAAAAAAAAAATCCCAAATTTATTTTCATATTTTTTTCAATTTCAAATTACGTCCAAATTCGGCCATACGGGCAAACGGCCAAAAGCGACGTTCTTTTTAAGAGGACAGGTTGGTATTTGATCTTCCGGTCTCTCCTGTCTTCGATCTTCTTTTTGGTGGCTGACGATGGGTTAGTGTGGCGTGTGACCGATGTATTCCTTGTGGGGGTTCTGTTAGCCAGGTTCGAAGGGGGTGCTGGAGGCTGCGTCCAAGGGGAGTCTTCTCAGTGAAGGTCTCTAGGATTCAAAAGATGGGGTTCGATCCTGCTGAGGCCTGAAATATCACTGGAAGTGGGGATGCGTGTGGCCAGAGATGGTTTGGGAATTGTTTGTTTTTTTTCCATTCCGCCTAGTTTTTTCCCAAGCGACGAGCCGTCCTTCCCACAACTCAACTGAAGCCTTAACGTCCTGTTTTTTTTTACACAACACAATAAACTCGTCGCGTAATATCGAATTCTTTACCTAAACTGGTCTAAAAGTTGTGAATGGAGGTGGCTTTCACGACGTCTTCTTTCAGTACATTCGACTTGTTGACCACCTGTACAGGGTACGAGTTTCTCTTACATTTCTTCGACTCTTTTATGTTTCTAACTTCCATTTATTTCCTCATGTCCAACTTTATCTCAATTTAAAGACACTATCCTTGTTCATTGTCTCTATTCCTCTCAATATTTTGTACATGGTGGTCATGTCTTGTCTGCTGCTTCTCTCCACTAGAGTTATGATACCTACTTCCTTATAGCTTAATCCTCGTAGTCCTGGCACTAATCTTGTTACAAACTTTTGTACTTTTTAAGTTTTCGATTTATGCTTCACACGGTGCGGGTTCCTGGCCGGTGCTGCATATTCCAGTATGGGTCTAACATTGCCTGGGTAGATTGCCTTGAAAGAGTCCTGATTTTAGGTTTGTATATGAAATTCAAATGTTTGCCAGCTAATCATGTGCTACGTCGGATCATGAGGGAGCCGATCGGCCGAGGGGACAGCACACTGGACATGTGATCCTGTGGTCCCGGGTTCGATCCCGGCTGCCGGCGAAAAACAATGGACAGAGTTTCTTTCACCCTATGCCCCTGTTACCTAGCAGTAAAATAGGTACCTGGGTGTTAATCAGCTGTCACGGGCTGCTTCCTGGGGGTGGAGGCCTGGTCGAGGACCGGGCCGCGGGGACACTAAAGCCCCGAAATCATCTCAAGATAACCTCAAGATACGTACCCAGCTTATGTGTGCCTCTGGCGTTAGTGTTGAAATTGTGTCCACTCCTAAATCTCTTTCTCTTTCCGATTCCTATAGTTGTCTTGTTATAGCAGCGCTTGCTGACCTGGGTCCGTGGGACTAGTGCTGAGTGTTGTATTGTGCGCTATGAAAACAATAACCACTTATATATGTTATTATCAACTGTTTTCACTGAGAATAACAATGCAGGGCTTGTAACATATTGTATAGATAGTATAGATTTGTCTTGTATAGGCTTGTATAGATTTGTGGCAGCAATGGCTACTGTTAATGTTGCTAGTTCTGTCTACTTTTTTGAAGGTGGGATGATGCCTACTTTCCCACAGGCAGGAACGTGGCTGGAAAAGGGAGACTGAGAACCATAAGGTTGTGAACCACTGGCTGAAGGTGTTCATACCTTCTGATCTCCTTTCTTCCATTCTCATCTTCATTAGTTTACACTTGAATTGGGATTGAATTCTAATGTCCATTTCTTTGCTCACTCCTGGAATTTGTCAAGGTCTTCCTGTAGTGCTCCTTCGTTTTCGCATTCCTCGTTAGCTTTGCGTCATCTGCAGTGACATGAACAAGCTCACTTTCCTGACGTTTTCAGTGAGAATTCTTCTTGTCTCCTCAGCCTGATCACATGATCTCTTACTACTGCATTTGCCACAACGTCGTTCTCAAATCAGCCCATCCTCTCAAGTTGCCACAACAGACAATAAATGGTGTACTCAAACATCCGAAACTAACCTAACCAATCCAAGCGACCCACGCACAGAAGACGTGAATGTTTGTGAGCTGCTACGAGTCATAATTCATCACATTTTACGCAGTGAGAATTTTGATGTAAAAATTCGATGTATTATTTGAGAGGACAGTTTGTTCAAATTGCCTCTCAGCTTTCCCCCCTGGATCTGATATATTCATTTATGGTTCTCATCAGTGCCGTGCTATTGTCCTCTGTTTCTTGTTCTGTACACTTTTTCCATTCTTTTTTATCCTTTCCTTAACTTTCCTGCATTGCCTATTGAGCAGGAGGTTTACTTTGCATTTCATTTCCATTTCCTTTTTAAATGGGGGATGAAGTGTTTTGTGGCATCCACACTTTTCTGGGCTACGAATTCCATAAACTGATTTAGTGTCTCCCTTTCCTATTTTTCTCCCATTGGATTTCACTCAGTAAGTTCCTCAGCCTCCTGCAGTACCCACGTCTACACTCTCTCATTTTCCTCAACGTGTTTCTTAGGCTAACCGACGCCTTTAGTTCCCCAGTGCCCTCAAGCAGCGTAATGCAGTTGTCACTAGCGCCATAATGCAGTTGTCACTAGCGCCATAATGCAGTTGTCACTAGCGCCATAATGCAGTTGTCACTAGCGCCATAATGCAGTTGTCACTAGCGCCATAATGCAGTTGTCACTAGCTGACAGCACGCTGGACTTGTGATCCTGTAGTCCTGGGTTCGATCCCAGGCGCCGGCGAGAAACAATGGGCAGAGTTTCTTTCACCCTATGCCCCTGTTACCTAGCAGTAAAATAGGTACCTGGGTGTTAGTCAGCTGTCACGGGCTGCTTCCTGTGGGTGGAGGCCTGGTCGAGGACCGGGCCGCGGGGACACTAAGCCCCGAAATCATCTCAAGATAACCTCAAAAAGATAGAGCCCCTCTGGCTCTGGTAGAGTGTAGATTACCATAGATCTTTCTCTTTCCAATTCCTGCCTAATTGGGGTGTTACAGCCCCTGTCACTGTTGTCTTAATTATCCCTTTCCCTTCTAAGGCCTTCTGCTCTTTTACATAAGAATTCATCTGGCCTTATCCTCAGTATCGCATTATATTATATACCTGTTTCATTCTCTCCTCCGCTGCATGACTTAATTTCTTTGCTCTCTTTTTTTCCAATTCCACCATCTTTATTTCCTCTCTTATCACATTTTTTTCTTGTAACTTAATAGCTTCAAGGTTGCTAGGCAGAGTTTATAATTCCTGGAAAGTTTAACCTTCAAGTTTTAAATGACCTCGTTCCTTTTTTTTTGTACTCTCTCGTGTATTTCCTGAAATTGTCTTCCTAGTTCTCTTATCTCTTCTTATTCAATCCTTATGCAATTTTACATTGTCCCTTAATAGTTCATCCACACTTTCTAAAAGTTCTGTTATGGAACTTGTGTTCTTCAGCTCCTCCTTATTCGGTAGTGTGCCCGACTTCGTCACTGGCGAAGTCGGAGAAAAGGAGGAAGCAATGTTCAAGGAATTTAGGGAAGAGAGGCTAAGTTGGAGCGCAATGTTGTAGGCTTGAGAGGTGGAGTTAGGGTCCAGGGGCCAGATTCACGAAGCAGTTCCTCAACCACTTACGAACCTGTACATCTTTTCTCAATCTTTGGCGGCTCTGTTTACGCTTATTAAACAGTTAATGAGCTCCGAAGCACCAGGAGGCTGTTTATAACAACAACAATAGTTGATTGGCAAGTTTTCATGCGTGTAAACTGTTTAATAAATGTAACCAAAGGTGTTAAAGATTGAGGAAAGATGTACACGTTCGTAAGTACTTGCGTAACTGCTTCGTGAATCTGGCCCCAGATGAGTCGAAGCTTACGGGGAAGAGAGAGAGAGAGAGAGAGAGAGAGAGAGAGAGAGAGAGAGAGAGAGAGAGAGAGAGAGAGAGAGAGAGAGAGAGAGAGAGAGAGAGAGAGAGTGGAGCGAGAATATAAGAAGTAGGAAAATATAGATCAGGTGGATCATTACCATACGACCCAGACTTACTTGATCCGGATCCCAACACCCTCCAGACCTAACTTACGCAAACGGAGTTGACGTCGGAAGTGTGGCCCCAGAAGGTCTGCTTGCAGGTCTTGGTGTCCCTCAGGTCCCAGACCTTGATGGTGCGGTCCACAGACCCGGTGACGAAGCAGCTCTGGTCGGGAGCCAGGCTCATGGTGGCTACGTCACCGCTGTGGCCGAAGAACTCGTTCACCTTTTTGCCTGTTTTCACGTCCCAGTGGATCCTGCAGTGGAGCGAGGGAGATGGGTGGGTGTAGATATATCTCACACACACACACACACACACACACACACACACACACACACACACACACACACACACACACACACACACACACACACACACACACAGTATGAGCTACAAGGAGAGACTACGGGAATTAAACCTCACTTCGTTGGAAGACAGAAGAGTTAGGGGGGACATGACCACCACATTCAAGATTCTCAAGGGAATCGACAGGGTTGATAAAGACAGGCTATTTAACACAAAGGGCACACACACTAGGGGACACAGGTGGAAACTGAGTGCCCAAATGAGCCACAGAGATATTAGAAAGATATTTTTAGTGTCAGAGTGGTTGATAAATGGAATGCATTAGGAAGCAATGTGGTGGAGACTGACTCCATACACAGTTTCAAGTGTAGATATGATAGAGCCCAATAGGCTCAGGAACCTGTACACCTGTTGATTGACGGTTGAGAGGCGGGACCAAAGAACCAGAGCTCAACCCCCGCAAGCACAACTAGGTGAGTACAACTAGGTGAGTACACACACACACACACACACACACACACACACACACACACACACACACACACACACACACACACACACACACACACACACACACACACACACACACACACACACACACACACACACACACACACACACACACACACACACACACACACACACACACACACACACACACACACACACACACACACACACACACACACACACACACACACACACACACACACACACACACACACACACACACACACACATATACCACATATGTCAGGCCAATCCTGGAGTATGCAGCCCCAGCATGGAGTCCATATCTAGTCAAGGATAAGACTAAACTGGAAAAGGTTCAAAGGTTTGCCACCAGACTAGTACCCGAGCTGAGAGGTATGAGCTACGAGGAGAGACTACGGGAATTAAACCTCACTTCGCTGGAAGACAGAAGAGTTAGGGGGGACATGATCACCACATTCAAGATTCTGAAGGGAATTGATAGGGTAGATAAAGACAGTCTATTTAACACAAGGGGAACACGCACAAGGGGACACAGGTGGAAACTGAGTGCCCAAATGAGCCACAGAGATATTAGAAAGAACTTTTTTAGTGTCAGAGTGGTTGACAAATGGAATGCATTAGGGGGTGATGTGGTGGAGGCTGACTCCATACACAGTTTCAAGTGTAGATATGACAGAGCCCGATAGGCTCAGGAATCTGTACACCTGTTGATTGACGGTTGAGAGGCGGGACCGAAGAGCCAGAGCTCAACCCCCGCAAACACAACTAGGTGAGTACAACTAGGTGAGTACACACACACACACACACACACACACACACACACACACACACACACACACACACACACACACACACACACACACACACACACACACACACACATGTGAGGGGTGAGGTCTCAGATTGGCGAGACGTCACAAGTGGAGTCCCGCAGGGGTCAGTCCTTGGACCTATACTGTTTCTGGTATATGTAAATGATCTCCCAGAGGGTATAGATTCGTTCCTCTCAATGTTTGCCGACGATGCAAAAATTATGAGGAGGATTGAAACAGAGGATGATAGTAGGAGGCTACAAGATGACCTGGATAGACTGAGTGAATGGTCCAACAAATGGCTGTTGAAGTTCAACCCGAGTAAATGCAAAGTAATGAAACTAGGCAGTGGAAACAGGAGGCCAGGCATAGGATTCAGAATAGGAGATGAAGTACTTAATGAAACAGACAGAGAGAAAGATCTAGGAGATGATATCACACCAAACCTGTCTCCTAAAGCCCACATAAAGAGAATAACGTCTGCGGCATATGCGAGGCTGGCTAACATCAGAACGGCGTTCAGGAACCTGTGTAAGGAATCATTCAGAATCTTGTACACCACATATGTAAGACCAATCCTGGAGTATGCGGCCCCAGCATGGAGCCCGTACCTTGTCAAGCACAAGACGAAGCTGGAAAAAGTCCAAAGGTATGCTACTAGACTAGTCCCAGAACTAAGAGGCATGAGTTATGAGGAAAGGCTGCGGGAAATGCACCTTACGACACTGGAAGACAGAAGAGTAAGGGAGGACATGATCACAACCTACAAAATCCTCAGGGGAATCGACCGGGTAAACAAGGATGAACTATTCAACACTGGTGGGACGCGAACAAGGGGACACAGGTGGAAGCTGAGTACCCAAATGAGCCACAGAGACGTTAGAAAGAACTTTTTCAGTGTCAGAGTAGTTAGTAAATGGAATGCATTAGGAAGTGATGTGGTGGAGGCTGACTCCATACACAGTTTCAAATGTAGATATGATAGAGCCCAGTAGGCTCAGGAATCTGTACACCAGTTGATTGACGGTTGAGAGGCAGGACCAAAGTGCCAAAGCTCAACCCCCGCAAGCACAATTAGGTGAGTACACACACACACACACACACACACACACACACACACACACACACACACACACACACACACACACACACACACACACACACACACAGAGTTGTTGCATGGAAGTGACTTCTTCTCAGGAAGCAGCTAGATGTACGAGCCGACTGATGGAGCAAAAAAGAGCGGTAGTAATAGTTGGCATTAGGGAGCAAACAGGGACCGGTCCAGCGGAGTGGAGAGACAAGGACAAAAACAAAGTTAATGAGATCCTTAAAGGGGTAATGATGGAGAGAGCTGTCCAGAATATTGAAAAGGTTTTCAGCCTTCTGAGATGAGGCTGAAATGAGAAACCCATGGTTTAATCAGAGATGTAGGCTAGCTAAACAGAAAAGTAAAAGGGCGTGGAGAAACTATAGAAATAACAGGACACTTGAGTGCAGAGAAAGACACCAGAGTGCCAGGAATGACTATGTCAGGTTGAGAAGAGAGGCAGAGAGGCAATACGGAAACGACATCGCAAGCAAGGCAAAGACTCAGCCTAAATTGTTCCACAGCCACATCAAGAGAAAAACAACAGTAAAGGAACAGGTAATGAAATTGAGGATAGGGGCAGACAGACTCACTGCAAACGACAGGAAGTGTGCGATGAACTGAATAAGAAATTCCAGGTCTTCACATTAGAGCAAGGAGAAGTTCCAGATATAAGAGAGGGAATAGATAGCCTGGAACCACTAGAAGAGTTTTAGATTACAAGTGAGTATGTAAGGAAGCTTTTGCTAAAGTTGGATGTGACAAAGGCTATAGGCCCAGAAGGAATCTCTCCTTGGATACTAAAGGAAGGAACAGAAGCACTGTGCCTGCCACTCTCCATAGTGTATAACGAATCACTGGTAACAGGGGAACTGCCAAAAATTTGGAAGACGGCTAATGTAGTCCCGATATACAAGAAGGGGGATAGACAGGAGGCACTGAACCACAGGCCAGTGTCCCTGACTTGCATACCATGCAAGCTGATGGAGAAGATTGTGCGAAAAAAGCTAATGGAACATCTGGAGCGAAGGAACTTTGTAACAGAGCATAAACATGAGTTCAAGGATGGTATGTCCTGCCTCACAGGATTAATTGAATTCTACGACCAGACAACAAAAATCAGGCAAGAAAGGTAAGGGTGGGCAGACTGCATACTTGTTTTATTGTCATAAAGCCTTTGACACAGTACCACACAAGAGGCTAGTGAAAAAGCTGGAGATGCAGGCAGGAGTGAAAGGGAAGGTACTCCATTGGATAAGGGAGTACCTAAGCAACAGAAGACAGCGAGTCACTCTGAAGGGTGAGGTCTCAGATTGGCGAGACGTCACCAGTGGAGTCCCGTAGGATTCAGTCTTTGGACCTATACTGTTTCTGATATATGTAAATGATCTCCCAGAGGGAACAGAATCGTTCCTCTCCTTGTCTATCACAGATTAAGAAAGTAATTAGAAACAAAGCAATGCAAAAGATGTACAGTGACCACAACACAGCAGTTGCAACATCAGGATCTGCGGGTTGGTACAAGAATTCAACCAACTACGAACCACTTAGTTTGATGAAAGGGAGCAGTAGAGCAACAGAAGTACACTTACATCGCATCAGGCTTGGATACCCATGTGTATGGGAAATAGGCTTACAGGTTCCGGAAGATGAGAGGAAATGTCAGCACTGTGGAGAAATGCCCGACAGACCACTGGAACATTATCTAACACAGTGCACAGTTACAGCCACAACAGACCACTAGAACATTATCTAACACAGTGCACAGTTACAAACCCATTAAGATTTCAACTTAGATTCAACAGAGCAGAAGAAGTTGTTAAACACATATGGCAAAATCTTACTGAAGCGACCATACGAGTCATAAATACTCATACTCCGCCCAAGTAAAACAGAAACAAGCAACACTTAGTGGGCCAGCCAGAGGCTTAGGGCCCGCGCAGTGGGCCAGCCAGAGGCTTAGGGCCCGCGCAGTGGGCCAGCCAGAGGCTTAGGGCCCGCGCAGGAATATCCCTGCATAAAAGAAAAAAGAAAAAAGACAAAAAAAGTTCCTCTCCTTTTTTACTAATGATGCAAAAATTATGAGGAGGATTAAAACAGAGGAAGATAGTAGGAGGCTACAAGATGACCTAGATTGACTGAATGAATGGTCCAACAAATGGCTGCTAAAGTTCAACCCGAGTAAATGCAAGGTGGAAACTATGCGGTGGAAACAGGAGGCTAGACACAGGATACAGAATAGGAGATGAAGTACTTCATGAAACGGACAAAGAAAGATCTAGGAGTTCATATCACACCAAACCTGTCTCCTGAAGACCACATAAAAAGAATAACATCGGCGGCGTATGCGAGGCTGGCTAACATCAGAACAGCCTTCAGGAACCTGTGTAAGGAATCATTCAGAACCTTGTATAGCGCATGTGTAAGACCAATCCTGGAGTATGCGGCCTCAGCATGGAGCCCGTAACTTGTCAAGCACAAAACGAAGCTGGAAAAAGTTCAGAGGTATGCCACTAGACTAGTCCCAGAACTAAGAGGCATGAGTTACGAGGACAAACCGCGTGAAATGCACCTCACGACAATGGAAGACAGAAGAGTAAGGGGAGACATGATCACTACTTACAAAATTCTCAGAGTAATTGACAGGGTAGTTAAGGATAAACTGCATAACACGGGTGGTACGCGAACAAGGGGACACAGGTGGAGACTGAGTACCCAAATGAGCCACAGGGACATTAGAAAGAACTTTTTCAGTGTCAGAGTAGTTAACAGATGGAATGCAATAGACAGTGATGTGGTAGAGGCTGACTCTATACACAGTTTCAAATGCAGATATAACAGGCCCCAGTAGGCTCAGGAACCTGTACATCAATTGATTGACGGTTGAGAGGCGGGACCAAAGAGTCGGAGCTCAACCCCCCGCAAACACAACTAGGTGAGTACACACCGAGAAGAGTGTCGCAAGCGAATACTAAACCATAAAAAAGTGAAGCGAGTGAATTATTTCCAATTGTTTTTCCCTCTGGCTGGGAGCTGGGTGGGGGGGGGGGGACTTGCCAGTCAAACTGCCTAGTCATTGTAATCACGAACATCTCATAAAAACTGGCGTAGTTTGCAAGCCTGATTGCTGGCGTATCGTCCATGTATTATCCACATGTTCTACTGGTCGTAAACCTCATACACAAGGTGGTTCTCTGGAGGGCGGGATCCATCGGTTTGGTTCCTTATGACTCTTCAACCTGAAGAAAACGGGAAATTATCTGTAGCAAGTTCACCCTTGAGTCTTCCAGTTCAATCCAGTGCCTCTCCAGTGCCTGCCAGTTCATCCCAGTGCTTCCCAGTTCACCACATCGTTTTTCAAAGTCTCCATTCCTCAGATCTGCGCCCCAGTTCACAACCATTGTCTCACCCCTCCCCCCCCCCACCCGCCACCAACCCCCAAGCTCTCGCCAGTATTATATCCTCCACCCACATTCAAGTAAAAAAAAGAACAAAAACCGGGAACTCCCCCACCCCCCTTCCTCATAACCCCCCCCCCTCTCTCCCACCCCTCCAAGCCCCTCCCTCACTCCACTTAGCCCCTCCGCACCCCCACATCCCCACCCTACTAAGCCTCTCTTTCATGTCATCTACATCCTACATCACACAGCCTCACCTCACGCTCCCCGTATCCACCTGCAGCAGCAGCAGCAGTAGCAGCAGTAGCAGCAGTACCAGCAGTAGCAGCAGCAGTAGCAGAAAAAGTCAGAAGAAAGAAGTCAGTTGAAAAACCAAGACTGAGGCGTCTCCTCCCAACACCTAAACAGCGTAGGGGTGGGTCTGGTAGCTGAGTGGACAGCGCGCAGGACTCGTAATTCTGTGGTTCTATTCCTGGACCAGGTAGAAACAAATGGGCAAAGTTTTTTTCGCCCAGAATGGCCCTGGTACCTAGCAGTAAATAGGTACCTGGGAGTTAGACAGCTGTTACGGAGCTGCTTCCTGGGTGTGTTTGTGTGGGGGTGGGGGATTAGTTAGTAGATAGTAACAGTTGATTGATAGCTGAGAGGCGGGCCGAAAGAGCAAAGCTCAACCCCCGCAAGCACAACTAGGTGAATACATCTAGGTGACTACAACTAGGTGACTACAACTAGGTGACTACAACTAGGTGAATACATCTAGTTGACTACAACTAGGTGAATACATCTAGTTGACTACAACTAGGTGAATACATCTAGTTGACTACAACTAGGTGAATACATTTAGTTGACTACAACTAGGTGACTACAACTAGGTGACTACAACTAGTTGACTACAACTAGGTGAATACACACGACGCTGGGTGCTCTCCACCTCACGTCAAGGCCTGGCACAGACCGCTCGAGCCCGCCCAGCCTACCACGCCGCCGCCCAGACACACGGCACAATAACAAAAACCAGGATCAAGATTCCAGAAAAATACCCGACGCCAACCCGCGCTGGAGAGGCCACCGAACTGTTTAGCCTTGTGTCTTTGGACATAGAAGCGAATCACCCGCCTTGCTCCTCTCTCACACCACCTTACTACACAGCCGCTCCCTCTGATGACCCAAAGCTACCCAAAGCTACCAAAAGCTACCCAAAGCTACCAAAAGCTACTCAAAGCTACCCAAAGTTATTCAAAGCTACTCAAAGCTACTCAAAGCTACCCAAAGTTATTCAAAGCTACTCAAAGCGACTCAAAGCTACCCAAAGCTACTCAAAGCAACTCAAAGCTACTCAAAGCTACCCAAAGCCTCCTGGCATTACGTAAGTAATGAACAACTATGATATATTCACTTACTATAATGTTGATGCTGAATGTAGAACGTGAAAAAAATTTTTTTAACTCTGAAATAATATCTTTTATAACGAATTTAGACAAAACTAAGTGGCAGGTGACGCCACAGAAAGTCGACGATCCAAGCGACAATGTTGTGGCTTTGGGAAATTAGAAGGACCCAATTTCGTTATAAAATGATATTATTTCAGAGTACAGATATGTTTCTTTCCCTGTTCTACATTCAGCACCAACATTATAGTGAGTAAATATATCACAGTTCTTGATTACTTACGTAATGCTAGGAAGCTTTGGGTAATAAGACGGACCCGCGCCACCTAATCCCTCACTAGCACAACTAAACCCTCCTTCACGTGCAGGCGATGAGTCACAATAACGTGGCTAAAGTATGTTGACCAGACCACACACTAGAAGGTGAAGGGACGACGACGTTTCGGTCCGTCCTGGACCATTCTCAAGTCGATTGTGACTTGTGACCCTCCTTCACTCAACGTAGCCTCTCTTTCAACCACCTGGTCCCTCCCTCACCCCTCCCTCACCCCAGCTAGCCCCAACACTTACACCTTCATGTCCCCTGAGCCGGTGATCAGGTTGTTGTCGTCGAGGAAGCGCATTGAGGAGAGAAAGCCTTCGTATCCCATCATCTCTCGAGCGATCTTGGCGGCGCCCGTCGAGTCTCTGTTGTTGAGGTCGTGGACCGTGCACTGGTTGTCCATGCCTCCGCTGGCTGTCGGGGAGGGTGGAGGGGAAGCATCAGAAGAACCTCACGGCCCAAATGGTTTGGCAACTTTACATCCCTCCCTCCTATCCAACCTCTCATCCCCACATGTGATGGCCTCACATACCTTCCATCTCCTGTTGTTGTTGTTATAGATTCAGCTACTCGGAACAAGTTCCAAGTAGCACGGGCTATGGTGAGCCCGTAACGTACCTGGCACAGGAGCGGGGCTGTGTCTCGTCCATTAGCTACATGAGGACAAGAGGCCGGGATAGGCCTCAGGGAAGGAAAGGGATATGAGGACAAAAGGCTGGGATAGGCCTTAGCGAAGGAATGGTCCCCCAAGTATGGGATCGAACCCTGACCTGTAAGAAGGGAGTTCGTCGCTGACTCGACCCGTCCAAGTGGATACATGAATCTAGAAGACCACATATAAGATTCATGTTAACTAGGAATAGAAAATTCCTGTCATAAACGTACAAAAAGTTAAGATTCATGAAATATGTTCAACTTCAAGTTAGTTGATCGAGTTAATAAAATGCATTCCAGGAGGATACAGTTGTTTAGGCTATTTCTATACTCTCCTGTGGAGTAAGATTATATTAAATGAAATATTTTTGGGGGAGGAGAGGAAAGGAAAGGAAAGGAAAGGAAAGGGCAGGAAAGGAAAGGAAAGGAAAGGAAAGGAAAGTAAAGGAAAGGAAAGGAAAGGAAAGGACAGGAAAGGAAGGGAAAGGAAAGGAAAGGAAAGGAGGAAAGGAAAGGAAAGAAAGGAGGAAAGGAAAGGAAAGGAAAGGAAAGGAAAGGAAAGGAAAGGAAAGGAAGGAAAGGAAAGGAAAGGAAAGGAAAGGAAAGGAAAGGAAAGGAAAGAAAGGAAGGAAAGAAAAGGAAAGGAAAGGAAGGAAAGGAAAGGAAAGGAAAGGAAAGGAAAGGAAAGGAAAGGAAAGGAAAGGAAAGGAAAGGAAAGGAAAGGAAGGAAAAAAGGAAAGGAAAAGGAAAGGAAAGGAAAGGAAAGGAAAGGAAAGGAAAGGAAAGGAAAGGAAAGGAAAGGAAAGAAAAGGAAAGGAAAGGAAAGGAAAGGAAAGGAAAGGAAAGGAAAGGAAAGGAAAGGAAAGGAAAGGAAAGGAAAGGAAAGGAAAGGAAAGGAAAGGAAAGGAAAGGAAAGGAAAGGAAAGGAAAGGAAAGGAAAGGAAAGGAAAAAAGGAAAGGAAAGGAAAGGAAAGGAAAGGAAAGGAAAGGAAAGGAAAGGAAAGGAAAGGAAAGGAAAGGAAAGGAAAGGAAAGGAAAAAGGAAAGGAAAGGAAAGGAAAGGAAAGGAAAGGAAAGGGAAAGGAAAAGGGAAAGGAAAGGAAAGGAAAGGAAGGAAAGGAAAGGAAAGGAAAGGAAAGGAAAGGAAAGGAAAGGAAAGGAAAGGAAAGGAAAGGAAAGGAAAGGAAAGGAAAGGAAAAAGGAAAGGAAAGGAAAGGAAAGGAAAGGAAAGAAAAAGGAAAGGAAAGGAAAGGAAAGGAAAGGAAAGGAAAGGAAAGGAAAAGGAAAGGAAAGGAAAGGAAAGGAAAGGAAGGAAAAAGGAAAGGAAAGGAAAGGAAAGGAAAGGAAAGGAAAGGAAAGGAAAGGAAAGGAAAGGAAAGGAAGGAAAAGGAAAGGAAAGGAAAGGAAAGGAAAGGAAAGGAAAGGAAAGGAAAGGAAAGGAAGGGAAAGGAAAGGAAAGGAATGGAAAGGAAAGGAAAGGAAAGGAAAGGAAAGGAAAGGAAAGGAAAGGAAAGGAAAGGAAAGGAAAGGAAGGGAAAGGAAAGGACAGGAAAGTAAAGGAAGGGAAAGGAAAGGACAGGAAAGGAAAGGAAAGGAAAGGAAAGGAAAGGAAAGGAAAGGACAGGACAGGACAGGAAGGGAAAAAAGAAGAGAAGCGGCAAAGGATACTTTAAAACTCGTTCAGAAAATAAGGTCAACCAGAGTGAGGTCACTTGATGACCCAGGGGGGGTCAGGGGTCAGCTACCTGACCTCAGTACACCTGGTGGCTGCTGGGTGCATTCCAATTATCCCAGGACGGTCAGTGGGATCCAAATCAATTTGTAATAGGTTTAGCCTATCAAACCTTTTTGATTGTGCATTGTTTTCTTGACATAATCGACTAGACTCGGCAGGTGTTCTATAGAAGATGAATGAATGGCTTATACCAATGATCAAAATAAGGAATTAGAGGTCACGATATGTTATTGCGAGGTCACGTAGGTCAATGGTAGGTCACAAAGGGAGACAGAAGGCAAAAGATATCACTGGAGGTGTAATTATGAGGATAGGTCATGTGATTGAAAGTCAGAGTATAAGTGAAAGTCAAAGTATAAGTGAAAGTCAGTGTATGAGTGAAAGTCAATGTATGAGTGAATGCCATGAGTGAAGATCATATGAGTGGCGGTCAAAGTATGAGTAGAGGTCAAAATATGAGTAGATGTCAAAGTATGAGTGGAAGTCAAAATATTAGTGGACGTCAAAGTATGAGTGAAGGCCAAAGTGTGAGTATAGGTCAAAATATGAGTGCAGGTCAAAATATGAGTGCAGGTCAAAATATGAGTGCAGGTCAAAATATGAGTGCAGGTCAAAATATGAGTGCAAGTCAAAATATGAGTGCAAGTCAAAATATGAGTTCAGGTCAAAATATGAGTGCAAGTCAAAGTAAGACTATAGCAATCAGAGTATGAGTGGAGTTAAAAGTACGAGTGCAGGTCAAAGTATGGTTAAAATATGAGTGTATGAGTAGCGTTCAAAGTAGTGGTCAAAGTATGAGCAGCGGTCAAAAGTATGAGTGTAGGTCAAATGAGGAACAGTGGTCAAAGTATGGATGCAGGTTAAAATATGAGTCAGCAACAGTCAAAGTACTGGTGCAGGTGAAAGTATGAGTAACAGTCAACAGTACGCCTGCGGGGTCAAAGCAGGACTTATGGCCAAAGTATGAATACAAGTTAAAGTAGGGCTTACGAAGCCCTTTTGGGCCATGAAAATTAAAAATAGGACTACAACGTACCCACAAAGTTCCCTGAAGGAGAGAATGCTACGGACATGACCCAAGCGGAGAGTAGCGGGATGATCTGGGTCTTATTGCCCGTATAGATGTCCCAAATGATGAGTTTCCCATCCAGAGAACCGGACACCAGGTGCCTGAGGACACACAAAAAAAATGGAGTTAGGCCCAACCAGTTTCTCTCTGATGTTATCGTTGGGTCGTTTTCTGTTTTGATAATCCGGGGTAGTTTTTTTAGGGGTGGAATTTGTTTTTTGTCGATTTTCTCGTGGAAGGGTGAACTAATGCAATCTCAGATTAGCGTCTTAATTTTTTTTTTTTAGGATTTAAGAACTTAGTCCTAAAATTCACATAAATTAGGAACAGCAGCGGTCCTAGGACCGAGCCTTGTGGGTCTTGGGACTTGCTACATTCCTCCAGCTAGAAAGCTTTCAGACTGTGACCCTTAAGCTAAATTTTTAGGACTTAAGAACAGGTGGAATTATAGATGGCTTATTCTTAAAACTTTAGAATGAACTGATCTTATTCACTTTACAGTAATGACTTGAGCCAGTCGCTAGCTAAGTTACTCAAACCTACTGTCAATCGCTTACCTATTTACTTACTCGCGTACTCACCTGCTATCACCGGCAAAGTGCACGCTGTTGACCTTATTGAGGTGACCCTTGCACATCCTCTTGCAAGATGCGCGGATCTTCGACACATCTGACACTCCGCTACACACCTCAGCCAGAGTTTTGTCCGCCTTGGTCTTCTGGTCCGCCTGCCGTGGAGGAAGAACTGGTTAGCCAGGAACAGGTGCTGAACTATTATTGCTAACTACATGTATTTGTGTCCCACCTGCTGCCCGTGCTGTCCATGAAGTGTAAACGATAGGAATGTCCTCCCCTTAACCTTGTGCCAGACATTGGAACATAAAAAGTATATAAAAACGATCCAAACGTCACTGAACAGGTTTTATAACGAAACATTTCTCCACCCCGTGATCTTGTTGTGTTTTTGTCCGCCCTCCCGCAAAACAAGGAACAAAAAAATCTACCAGACCGCTGTTGGTGACCTTATCCTGATTTAAAATGACTTCAGTTGCCTAGCGCCCAGGGCTTAAAATGACTTCAGTTGCCTAGCGCCCAGGGCTTAAGATGACTTCAGTTGCCTAGCGCCCAGGGCTTAAGATGACTTCAGTTGCCTAGCGCCCAGGGCTTAAGATGACTTCAGTTGCCTAGCGTCCAGGGCTTAAAATGACTTCAGTTGCTTAGCGTCCAGGGCTTAAAATGACTTCAGTTGCCTAGCGTCCAGGGCTTAAAATGACTTCAGTTGCCTAGCGTCCAGGGCTTAAAATGACTTCAGTTGCCTAGCGTCCAGGGCTTAAAATGACTTCAGTTGCCTAGCGTCCAGGGCTTAAAATGACTTCAGTTGCCTAGCGTCCAGGGCTTAAAATGACTTCAGTTGCCTAGCGCCCAGGGCTTAAAATGACTTCAGTTGCCTAGCGTCCAGGGCTTAAAATGACTTCAGTTGCCTAGCGCCCAGGGCTTAAAATGACTTCAGTTGCCTAGCGTCCAGGGCTTAAAATGACTTCAGTTGCCTAGCGCCCAGGGCTTAAAAAGACTTCAGTTGCCTAGCGTCCAGGGCTTAAAATGACTTCAGTTGCCTAGCGCCCAGGGCTTAAAATGACTTCAGTTGCCTAGCGCCCAGGGCTTAAAATGACTTCAGTTGCCTAGCGCCCAGGGCTTAAGAGGACTTCAGTTGCCTAGCATCCAGGCTTTAAGAGGGCTTCAATAGCCTAGCGTCCAGGCTTTAAGAGGACTTAAGTAGCCTAGCGTCCAGGCTTTAAGAGGACTTCAGTAGCCTAGCGTCCAGGCTTTAAGGTGACTTCAGTTCCCTAGCGTCCAGGGCTTAAAATGACTTCAGTTGCCTAGCGTCCAGGCTTTAAGAGGACTTCAGTAGCCTAGCGTCCAGGCTTTAAGAGGACTTCAGTAGCCTAGCGTCCAGGCTTTAAGAGGACTTCAGTAGCCTAGCATCCAGGCTTTAAGATGACTTCAGTAGCCTAGCATCCAGGCTTTAAGATGATTTCAATAGCCTAGCGTCCAGGCTTTAAGAGGACTTCAGTAGCCTAGCATCCAGGCTTTAAGATGACTTCAGTAGCCTAGCATCCAGGCTTTAAGATGATTTCAATAGCCTAGCATCCAGGCTTTAAGAGGACTTCAGTAGCCTAGCGTCCAGGCTTTAAGATGACTTCAGTAGCCTAGCATCCAGGCTTTAAGAGGACTTCAGTAGCCTAGCGTCCAGGCTTTAAGATGACTTAAATAGCCTAGCATCCAGGCTTTAAGATGACTTAAGTAGCCTAGCATCCAGGCTTTAAGATGACTTAAGTAGCCTAGCATCCAGGCTTTAAGATGACTTCAATAGCCTAGCATCCAGGCTTTAAGAAGACTTCAGTAGCCTAGCATCTAAGATTTAGGATGATGTCTGAAACCTATTATCTACAGTCGACTGGGATATCCTCTTATCCTGATCAGAATATCAATGCTGGCCGGCAACGTGTTCACAATATGAACGATGCTATTCAACGAGTGGCGTTGCCCAATAAACTCGCCCCTCGGGGAAAAATTAATCAATATTATGGAGCAGCCGGACGTACAACTATGGCGTCTCTGCTTGTAGCCTATGGAGTATTATCTATGTCTAATGTATTTGTACTTAGTTATATAAGTATTTGTATGAATTTGCGTATACGTTTAGTATAATATTAAATCAAGGAAGAATTATACATGTTTATCACACTGAATAATAAATAATATGTCGATTTTGTTATGTGTTTCATTATATGAACACGTTCTTTTGGACGTATTGAGAATAGTTTGAGCTACCTCATCTCTTTACGTCTATTTCTATCACAGTAAACATATTTCAGTTACAATGTCTATAGTCCACGGGATGAGTATGAATTACCTTATAAGTATGTACACGCTACATACCCTAGCCAACTGCTCATTGATACTCATGTCATTCAGTAAGGTACACTGCACGTTCGTCCTTTGCTGTCTGTTTGGATGTTTTCTCATGGTATGCTGCGCTATTTGGATGTTTTCTCATGGTATGTTGCGCTATTTGGAGGTTTCTCATGGTATGCTGCGCTATTTGGTATGCTGCGCTATTTGGATGTTTTCTCATGTTATGCTGCGCTATTTGGATGTTTTCTCATGGTATGCTGCGCTATTTGGACGTTTTCTCATGGTATGCTGCGCTAGTTGGACGTTTTCTCATGGTATGCTGCGCTATTTTAGTGTTTTCCCATGGTATGCTGAGCTATTTGGACGTTTTCTCATGGTATGCTGCGCTATTTGGACGTTTTTCTCATGGTATGCTGCGCTATTTGGATGTTTTCTCATGGTATGCTGCGCTATTTGTATGTTTTCTCATGTTATGCTGCGCTATTTGGATGTTTTCTCATGGTATGCTGCGCTATATGGATGTTTTCTCATGGTATGTTGCGCTATTTGGAGGTTTTCTCATGGTATGCTGCGCTATTTGGATGTTTTCTCATGTTATGCTGCGCTATTTGGATGTTTTCTCATGGTATGCTGCGCTATTTGGATGTTTTCTCATGGTATGCTGCGCTATTTGGACGTTTTCTCGTGGTATGCTGCGCTATTTTAGTGTTTTCTCATGGTATGCTGAGCTATTTGGACGTTTTCTCATGGTATGCTGCGCTATTTGGACGTTTTCTCATGGTATGCTGCGCTATTTTAGTGTTTTCCCATGGTATGCTGAGCTATTTGGACGTTTTCTCATGGTATGCTGCGCTATATGGATGTTTTCTCATGGTATGTTGCGCTATTTGGAGGTTTTCTCATGGTATGCTGCGCTATTTGTATGTTTTCTTATGTTATGCTGCGCTATTTGGATGTTTTCTCATGGTAGGCTGCGCTATTTGGACGTTTTCTCATGGTATGCTGCGCTATTTGGATGTTTTCTCATGGTATGTTGCGCTATTTGGATGTTTTCTCATGGTAGGCTGCGCTATTTGGACGTTTTCTCATGGTATGCTGCGCTATTTGGATGTTTTCTCATGGTAGGCTGCGCTATTTGGACGTTTTCTCATGGTAGGCTGCGCTATTTGGACGTTTTCTCATGGTATGCTGCGCTATTTGGATGTTTTCTCATGGTAGGCTGCGCTATTTGGACGTTTTCTCATGGTATGCTGCGCTATTTTAGTGTTTTCCCATGGTATGCTGAGCTATTTGGACGTTTTCTCATGGTATGCTGCGCTATTTGGACGTTTTTCTCATGGTATGCTGCGCTATTTTAATGTTTTCCCATGGTATGCTGCGCTATTTGAACGTTTTCCCATGGTATGCTGCGCTATTTGGACGTTTTCTCATGGTATGCTGCGCTATTTGGATGTTTTTCGTGGTATACTGCGCTATTTGGACGTTTTCTCATGGTATGCTGCGCTATTTGTGTTTTCTCATGGTATGCTGCGCTATTTGTGTGTTTTCTCATGGTATGCTGCACTATTTGGACGTTTTCTCATGGTATGCTGCGCTATTTTAGTGTTTTCCCATGGTATGCTGAGCTATTTGGACGTTTTCTCATGGTATGCTGCGCTATTTTAATGTTTTCCCATGGTATGCTGCGCTATTTGAACGTTTTCCCATGGTATGCTGCGCTATTTGGACGTTTTCTCATGGTATGTTGTGCTATTTTAATGTTTTTTCATGGTATGCTGCGCTATTTGGACGTTTTCTCATGGTATGCTGCGCTATTTGTGTGTTTTCTCATGGTATGCTGCGCTATTTGGACATTTTCTCGTGGTATGCTGCGCTATTTGGACGTTTTCTCATAGTATGCTGCACTATTTGGACGTTTTCTCATGGTATGCTGCGCTTTTGGATGTTTTCTCATGGTATGCTGCGCTATTTGGATGTTTTCTCATGGTAAGCTGCGCTATTTGGATCTTTTCTCATGGTATGCTGCGCTTTTGGATGTTTTCTCATGGTATGCTGCGCTTTTGGATGTTTTCTCATGGTATGCTGCACTATTTGGATGTTTTTTCGTGATATGCTGCGCTATTTGGATGTTTTCTCGTGATATGCTGCGCTATTTGGATGTTTTTTCGTGATATGCTGCGCTATTTGGATGTTTTTTCGTGATATGCTGATTTATTTAGAAGTTTTCTCATGGCATGCTGCACTGTTTTGATACTTTTTCATGGTAAGCATAATAATAATAATAATAATAATAATAATAATAAGAAGAAGAAGAAGAAGAAGAAGAAGAAGAAGAAGAAGAAGAAGAA